CCCCCCCCCCCCCCCCCCCCCATCACTTTTCTAATCGTCCGTCCGTAATGAGCTACAATAAACAAATTAGCCCCGCGGGCGCTATATCGAATCTTTACGGAAGTAGCAAGTTTAACAAACATGCATGGTAATAACCACAAAAAACAGTTTTTTTTCATTGCCCTTTGTGGCATAACTATGGATGAATTGTAATAATTACGCCAGCAACAATGTTTTCAATCAAATTTTCGCCAGTAACCGAAACCTAAAAGATCCTAAAACACATAGGTTATAGATACATAATGAAACAACATTAGGCTAAGTTAACATTCATTCGTGATTTGTCATCACCTAGTTTATGCAAATAATATATTACGTAATTTTTTCTGTCAAAATTGATAATTTTTTATATATAAGTTAAAAATCTTGAAGGGCTAAATTGTCAAAAATGCAATTTTTGTGTGATCTATATAGCATATCTACAAATTTACACGAATAAACAATATTTTTGCTAAGTGTACAAATGATTATATTTGTTAATTTTGTATTCAAACAAGACAACTGTCTGTCTGTAAATTTCTGTAGATAAAATACAAAGTTTCATGTTCATAGTCAATTTTTTTAGAATTAAATGAGACCTAGCTCTTTCTTGCGATGATTATAAGCTTCAAACCGTGCCAAACCATAATCCTGAAAAGAAAATACGAAACAATGAGGTTGTGAGGAAAAAACTTATCAACAAAAGAAAAAAGGCCATTTTCGAGGTATTAAAATTCTAAATTGGCTCCCAGGCTTGGGGGAATAAAACAAAATAAATCCATTAAACATCCACAAACCTCAGTGGGATTTCTTTTGTTTTATTCCCCTTAGCCTCAGAGCCAAGATCGAAATTGACACAAAGCAACTGAAGGAAGGCCTAATTTCTGTAATTTACACTTGAGAAATTCAATCAACCAAGTATTGTCCCTCTGTTTCAGTACCTTTGATCACGTCTTAGGAAATGACTTTTTTGCTTTTTTGATTAACAAATTGTACTTAGTGTTGGTATGCTTGTGAAAACAAGACAGTACATTTGCCTGAAATAAAGCAATTCTGAGTGAAAAAAAAATTATCAATGGAAATGTCATGTACACCCAATGTCTCATGCCCAAACACCACCGTAAACTTTCCAAAACAGCTGGAACTCGTGGCAAAAAAGATAGAAATCCTTATGCACTCTGAATTAAGCGAGTTGAACTTCATCATGTTATTTAAAGCCCGTTTTCATTTGTAAATAATGTGGAGTTAGTCAATGTATGGAGTATTACTTGCATTTCTTTGCAAATGTTGTCACTATCTATTCTGTTGTAGATAGTGAGTGGCCGAGCAGTGTGCGCTTGTTAACAAAATGGTGGCCGCTTTTTTGCAGTCCTCCTGTGAGGAGGATTTAGATAGAGACATAAGTTTTGAACAACTAGAAGATTTAAGCTAAAACAATTAAGTTTTTCACTCTCAATTTCTATGCATGATATATTTGACTCGGGTTCGCCCTCATCAACTATCAGGAGATAGAAATCTCAAGCTCATAATCTATCATTTTTAATGATGTCCACAAGCTAAACTTACCAGGTAGTTAAATTGGATGTTATGACTACCATTGTTTAATCGTTCCTGTACAACACCCCATAACCCCCACATAAAGTGTGAAGCAAGAGCAAACCTACAGCGCAAAGAAGAAAAAAGACTTCAATGGTGAGCCAAACATAGACTCTTTGATTGGTTCTAACTTATGATCAAATGGAGAACGGACAAGGAGATGTCATTAACATATTTTTGTTTCGTAATGATATAAAACAAATATATTCCATGTTGCCATGTGTCTATTAAGTAAGTGATCACAGAAGACATCAAAATATGGTAAGAACATCAGTGACACACTCGACTATCGCCTTGTGTGCTCCACAGTGTTTTTACCGCATTTTGATGTCATCTGTGAACAGACACACAGCAAAATGGACTCCATTTGTTAAATAGATGCAAGGCTGGAAAATGTAGAGCATGTATGTCCCAGGTGCTGTGTTGCCGGTACAATCACCACCTTTTTTTCCCATGTAATTGTTTTTTGTTTTTCCCTACTCTATTCTACCAACTAGGACAACGAGTTCCTATGTTTTGTAAAAAAATAATGCACTATTACTCACTCACCACACTCCTTCATTCATAAAATATTATTTCTGCCACTCAAAAATAAAATTCCTATCTATTCATGCTGCTGTGTAAACTCCTCTATTTACAGCTCTGTGTGAACAACTCAAACATGTAGAAGTAAGGTAAAGGTAAAGTCTGGATACAAGCAAAGTAACAGGCACAAAATGCAAGAAAATAATGTTCACATTTTACCTATTGACTTGATCTAACAATTCTGATTCCTCTATGGTTGGTTCAGCACAGGGATGGTTGTTCTGTGGATCCTTGTCCAAGTAAGCTCTGATGAAGAGTAGCTGTCAATAATAAAAAGTACAGTGGTACTGTAAGAGTTCATTTCCCTTGAAAAAGATTTAAGGAGAATATTTACTCAAATTGCACACAATAAAGGGTCGGATAAAAAAATGTTGAATATTCTAGAAATATCCATACCCTCTCCCACAGAAGGTTGTTGTAGTTTGAACTCTCCCCTCCCTCCCGAAATTTCAGCTTGGGTCCATACTTTCCATTTAAAAGTTTGGCTTGGAAGCTCAATTTTAGCCATTGCATACATGCAATGGCTGAAATCAGCATGAGTTATCAGGTTGGCTGTTCTCATAGAAAAATTTGATAAATTTCAAATGTTTCTTATACTTCTTATGTTTCTCATTGTATTCATGGCAATCTTGCTTGACACTTACGACATGTACAGAGAACAAAATTCCAACAATTAGACTAAAACAGGAAATCTCTGACTGATGTGTGTACACATCAACCAATTAACCAATGACTTACCAATCAGACTACTCACCCAATCTAAAATTGTTACAGTAGCAAAGCCAAAACCAGAACCAAAGTAATTGTCTGATTGCTTTCCACACTCAATTAAAACCAGTTAATGTAACTGTTCCTTTCAAAATAATCTAATCGTGACTTGTTGTTTGGTTATCACGCAAATTACTAATTAAAACA